TTTTCTTCCATAAATTACAAATACAATCAATAAAAATTTTAAACATAAGTTAAGTAGGAGCCAGTATTACCTGTTGAGAGAGACATGAAAGGTGAGAGATTTGAGATTAAGGAGGGAGAAGTTTCAGAAGAGGCCCTCTGTGGGGCAGAGGTTGGAAAGACATTAAGGGTATTCTATAGGATTTCTGAGGATGAGCGAGGGCTCATGGGAGGGAAATATTTAGGGAACATTCAGATTGCTCCTGGATCTGAGGTTGGGGATGATGGGCCTCAGGTTAAGGTTGGGGAAAGCCTTAATGGTCCACAACCCAAGGAGCTTAGAAGGTTCTTTTCCTGACCGTGGGGGAGAAAAGCTCTGTGGGACTGAGAGTTGTGGAGACAGCCCCTCTCTCACCTCCTGGGCCTAGTGGAAAATATACACTCAACTCTCATAATTTTGAACTTCAATAGATGGAAACGTTCAGCGATGAGAAACAGAGTGATGCTTTGATGAAGAAAAGAAAAGAATCATGTTAATCAACCAATACACATTTAAGAAGTACCTCTTCTGTGCCAGGCATTCTGCTAAGCACATTGTGCTTCAGCTAACAAACAAATAAAAAACTAAGCATGCCTTAAACGAAAGATAGAAATGAATAAGCTACGAGAAGCTGAGACATAATCACAAGGCATGAAGTGAGTCCAAAAAGGAGAAGATCCTTTCGTGCTATTGTTGAGGTTCAAGGGTTTAGGGGTGCTGGGACCTCAATATCACAACACGCAGGTCCTGCCAAAAAGAATTCAACCCAAGCCTTCTTTTAGCAAGAAACGAGGTTTATTAAAGATCTGCTATATTGGCTAGACTCTTAAGGAATCTGAACATTGGCTAGATTTTAAGAATCTGAGCACCTCAATGGAGACAAGATGGACAGAAAGGCTGTGGGAAGAATCTAGGAGTGGCCCAGTAGTTTTGGGTGACTGGAGGAAGGGTTTAAGGAAGATCTGGATGGCAGTGGACAGCAAGCTGGAGTGAACAGAATACCAGGTACCTGGACCACTTCACCAAGGGAGAATGGAGTCTAGATAGGATTTAAGGGTGTTAAGTGACCAGGGTCAATTGGAAAGGAACAGAACACAAGTGGGAGATTGGGCATAGCCACAATGAAAGGTCTGTTAATAGAATTATTGCCTCAGGTGACTGCCAGAGATTTCGCCAGAGGGAAAGTCCAGGGTTTTTCCTTTTTGGGGTCTAGTTCCCACACACATGGTCTTTTCCTTTTAGGGGTTCAGTTCCCATCCCCATCACTACCAAACAGAAGAAAAATAACAAATTTGCAATACAATCAGAGATAAATAAGAAAATTAAATTCTGCTAAAAGGAACCAGAGATCAAAGTCCACTATCAGCATTAACAGTCTAAGATCCAAATGCCTAAATACATAAATTGATAAAGCAAAAAATTAATAGAATTTCAAAAATACATAAATAGTGATGAAATAATAGCAGGAGACATTAAGGCCTCTTTCTCAAAATTAGATAACACTAACAAAATAAACAGAAGGAAATTATGCAATTGAACAAATTGCTCAGAAAGTAGAACTAAACTATTATAAAATCTTCTGAATTGGACACTTAAAGAATGCATGTATTTTCAGCATCATGTAGAAACTTTATAAAAATCAACAACGTGATTATCATACAGAAATATTGCAAATAAATTTAAAAAGAGAAATAACTAACACATCCTTTTATACACCATAATGAAAGAAAGTAGGAACTATTTAAGGGAGCATAAATGAAACACAAACTTTATTCCTACATTGTTCTAGCCTCAAAAATATATGTCTCTCTCTGCAACTTGAGTCCATCACCTCTCTATGAGGAGCTTGGTAGCATTGTTCATCATTAATTGTCTGGAATCATAGCTATTCACTGCATTGATCTGAATTCTGAAATCTTTTTACGGGGTTTTTCGTTCTAATGTTGTTGTCATGGGAGAAATTCAAGTCTTCATTCAGTTCACTTCCCTTTACATTATTTCTTATACATGTTCTCATATTTCTTCAACTCTGTTTCTTTCATCATTTTTTCTAGAATTATAGTATTCCACTGCATTCTTATATGATAATTTCTTCAGCCATTCCTGAATTCATAGGCACTCTTTTACTCTCTAAGAGGTTGGGGGGGGGGGTGTTTTGCCACTACAAAAGAAAGCTGCTGCAAACATTTTTGTTTATATGGGCCATTTTCTTCTCTCTTTGGTCTCTGAGTTATACTTCCTTTTACTGTGACTCGCCCCTGTGATTGTCCTCTGCCCCTTCCATTCTCCTGGGCTCCAGCTGGGCAGCTAATGTAGTTGGCTTCCCAAGGATGTTTCCTCCTCCATGACTTTCCTCCCTCTTCTGTGGATTTGCTCCCTGGTTACGCCAGGGAGCTACTGTAAGTCCCCAACAGGGCCACCACACTGGAATCCATGGCTGCCCAGTGCAGTGGGCGTCTCCCTACATGGACTGGTGGACTCAGACCCCAGGAGGCACAACTCCTTTAAAATGGCAAGGCATCAACCATTCATGAGGTGTGTACTCTGTCCCAGGCACTGCTAACAGCTGGGAATATACATTTAAGCAAAAAGAAAGATGGTCCCTGGTTTCAAGGAGCTCCCATTCCCAAAGGGGAATTAAAAGAGGGGACTTTCCTCCTGACTTTTCCTGGGGCTGTCATTGGCTCTGCGGCCACCAGAGGGAGACATTGGAATGAGGGGACTGAGCTGGGCTGGAAATGCTCCCTGGGGCTCTTGGCCCTGAGCTCCTAGTCAGCAGCTCTGAGGCCTGGGGGAGGCTCAGCTGATGCTGCCTTCCTAGCCCCTCCCACTGAGCTGGGGGGCAGATGGAGAGCACCCCTCCCAACACCCTCCCTTTTTATGGGACAGCTCAGAATTTCCTTAGGCCCCAGAACATCCTCAGGTACTAAAAATGCACAGAACAAGCACAGGATAACCAAGTGTTCAGCACTTACCCTGTGCCAGACCCTGGGCCAGGGGCTGGGGGCACAATACCAAACAGGAGCAGGCTCTGTTCTCAGGGCGATTCCCTTCTATTGGAGGAGCCCCTCAATGGGGAAGGACAACACAGAGAAATGCCAGGGAACTGGGGGAGGGCGTGCCTCTCAGCTGTGGACTGAGGGATGAGGAAAGGCCTCAGGCAGAAGAGGGGGCTGCAGCAAGAACCCTTAGAAAGGGCCTCCCAACCCTCCCTTCCACACGTCTCCCTCTATGCCCAGATCTTTGTGATCTGCCTGATGGTTGGTGTGGGCTCAGGCCCAGAGGGATAGCCAGCATTAACATTTACTGGGAACTTTAAGGTTTGTAAGGCAATGCCATGGGTTAGGTCATTCGGGCCTCCCTACCTGCCCAGGGAGGTAGGTGCTATTATGTTCCCATTTTACACAGAAGGGAACACAGGCCCAGACCAGTAGGTGACTTGCCCAGGTTCACACAGCTCATAAGCCTCAAAGACAAGAACTGAAAGCAGGTCTTCCTAGCTCCAAGTGCTGAGCTCTAACCACTGCACCACTCAGCCATGAGATAGATACGGAAGTGAGGCCTCAGCCAGTGGGGATAATGACAGGGGGGCTGAGGCTGTGGAGGACTTCCCCAGGCCCTGTGAGATTCAGCATGTGTCAGAGGGCTGGGGTCTGGGTGGTCTCCCCATTTCTGATGGTAGCCTGCTGGGGGCCCATAGAGAATGCCCATTCCTCATCTGGCCTGAAGCATCATTCCCAGAAAGACAAGAATAAGATGGTCTAAGAGGAAACCCTGAATACTGACAAAGTATTCACCTGCCAACCTCTTGTTTTATTTCATATTGAATAAACATTAAAAAAATGAATAAAAAATTTATCTTTCTTGAACTTTATTGCTACCTTTGGCTCCCTAAGGGCCTCAATGTTTGGAGAATCTGCTGAGAATCCCAGATGAAAACAGGCCCTTTGGGCTTCATCATTGAAGGCCAGAGCTGGAGGAGCCTAGAGATCCCTGGTCCAATCCCCCTCATGTCACCAGTGGGGAAGTGAGGCCCACAGGGAGGCTGTGCCTGGCTCTCTCCCTCTGCAGCTTCTGGGGAGACCTGAGCAGCAGGAGCCCTGGGGGATTGGGGGCAGGAGCTGGGCCCACTTTCTCTCATTACTGTTCCCTTGGATGGTCATGAGGCAGCTCGGGATTGGGGGCAGGGCAAGGCAACCAACCAGCATTTATTAATCCCTTGCTGTGTACAAGGCCCTGGGCCATGTGCAGGGGATGCCAATGCAAATAAATGGAGAGTCCCTGCCCTTGCGGAGCTTACATTTTTTGTTGTTGTTGGTTAGGCAACTGGGGTTAAGTGACATGCCCAGAGTCACACAGCTAGTAACTGTTATGTGTCTGAGGCCACATCTGAACTCAGGTCCTCATGACTCCAGGGCAAGTACTCTATCCACAGAGGCATCTAGCTGCCCCTCCCATGGAGCTTTCATTCTAATAATGGAAGAAAACCAATGAAAGGGGCTCTCATTGATGGGGGAGAGAAGTCACCATCCCAGGGTGTTTCTCAAGCCTCCAGAGTCACAGGCACAGCTGGAGGGGAAGGAAACCTGGCTGTCCCCAAGCAGGTCCTGGGGGACCCCTCCAACGGGAGGAGGGGCAGCATGGGGGAAGGATGGTCCATGGTGGGAAGGCCCCAGTGCACAGGGAAGGTCCAAGAGAAGAAAGCAGTTCAGTTACTCTGACAAGTTCCTGGAGCATCAGACACAGACCTGGGGAGGAATGAACCTGACTCCCAGAATCCCAGAATCTTAGAGTAGGAAATGACCTCAGGGCCATGATGACCCTCCCCTGCCAGAAGAAGGAACTGCCCGTCTACCCCAGGAGTCCACAGGCTCAGTCAGTCCTCACCGGAGGCTCCTCTTTCAGGGATCCAGAGAAGGAGCAGATTTGCATGTGGGGCCCTCCTCCCTGCAGGGCCTGAGCTGGTCTTAAGAGAGCCCTGGGGGAGCCCAGCCCCTGCTGGGGAGCCTCAGGACACTGAGCTATTGGAGGAACCTCGACCATGGCCTGCATCTCTCTCCTGTTCTCACTCCTGACTGTCTACACAGGTGAGGCTTCACAGGTACTCCTCCCTGTGGTTCATGCCCCACATTGTCACAGACCAGGCCTGCCCTGAGCTCTTCCTGAAGCTGCTTGAGGACCCAGCCTCCCCTTGGGGAGAGAGGGCCCTGCCTCTGACCAATGTTCTTTCTTCTCCTTCCAGGTTCTGGGGCCTCCTATGTGCTGACTCAGCCACCTTCAGTGTCCAAAAGCCTGGGAGAGACAGCCTCCATCTCCTGTACTGGGGATGGAATTAGCAGCTACTATGTACAGTGGTTCCAGCAGAAACCTGGCCAGGCCCCTGTAGAGGTGATATATTACACTAGCAGCAGGCCCTCGGGGATCCCTGACAGATTCTCTGGCTCCAGCTCAGAGAACACGGCCACCCTGAGCATCTCTGGGCTCCAGGCTGAGGATGAGGCTGATTATTACTGTCAGGTGTGGCATGGTAATGCTAAAGCTCACAGTGACACAGACTGATGGGGAAGTGAGACAAAAACCCCCCAGGTTCTGCTCCCACTGTGCCCTCCCCTCTGGGCTCCAGAGGTGCCTGGTGAGGACAGGACAGAGACAGCTTCTCCCTCAGGCTTCTTCCTCCCCTACCCCCTCCCTGCTCTTCTGCCTGGGCAGTCCCTTCCCCCTCTCTGACCCTCCCCCTTTAAGGGTCCTTCCTCCTCCCCAGGCCCTCATCTTATCCCTCCCTCCCTCGACACGCTCCCCTCTCATTGCCTCCATTCTGTTGTGTCCCTCAAAGCCTATTTTGGCTTCTCCCCAGCTTGGAAGGCTGTTCAGGTGCCAAGATGGCACACTGAGGAAGGAACCCTCTGAATGCCTCCCAAATGCCCCTCCAAACAACTGGAAAACTTTCTCAAATCCTGATCTGGGAGCAGGGAAGCAGCTTAGTAGGCCCCCAGGAAAGATCTGCCTCACTGGACTGGAAGGACAGTGAGGTCCAAGGGCAGCAGCAGCAGCCAGCCTCACAGCAGGAGGCCTGCAGCAGGGCTCCAAGTCTGGGACAATCCACCAGGGAGACCCCACACTCCTGCAAGCCAGGAGCCCCCTGGGCCAGTGAGCAGTCTGTGCAGCTCTGCAAGGCCCCACCCCATGGATCTAATCAGAGTAGCCATGCCCCACCCTGGGGCTGGCCAACAGAGAGACCTTGCTCCTAAGGCAGAAGGGAAGCCTATCCCCCAGAGGACTCACCCAGCTAAAGCCACATGCCCAGTGAAGGATAGTAGTAAGACTGAGAGCACACGCTGTACACAGTAACAGTCACGTTGTGCGATGGCTAATATTGATAGACTTAACCCTTCTCAGCAATGCAAGGATCAAAGACATCTTCAGAGGCCTAGTGAAGGAAAATGCTATCCACATCCATAGAAATAACTATGGAGGTTGAATCTCTATCCTTTTTTTTTCTGTTCTGTTCAGTTTTGTTTCCTCTTTCTTATGGTTCCTCTTATTGCTATTAATTTTTACTTACAACTTCACTAATGTGACAATATGTTTAATAGGACTGTAAATGTATAGCCTATATGAGACTGGGTACCATCTTAGGGAGGGCGGTGGGGAGGAAGGTGGAGAAAAACTTTAAACTTTTTTTTTAATTTAAAGCATATGGAAGTGATTGTTGATAAATCAAAATAAATTAATACAATTAAAAAAAAAAAAGACTGAGAGCCCCAGCACTAAAGCCTTGGGGATAGTGCAGGACCAGAGACCAACTCTCACTTAAAAACAACGAGACACAAGAAAAAGGTAGGAAAAAATGAGCAAAAAACAAAAAAGCAAGTTGACTATGGAAAGTTCCTATGATGATAGGGAGAAGCAAAGCACAAACTTGGAAGAGGACAATAAGGTCAAAATGGCTACATGTGAAACCTCAAAGATAAATGGAATTTGGTCTCAGACCCAAAAAGAATTCCTGGAAGAGCTTGAAAGGATTTTTAAATACTAATTAGAGAAATAAATTAAAAAATGGGCCAAGGAATAGGAATACTGCAAGAGAATCATGAAAAAAAATCAATTGCTTGGGGAAAGAAATATCAAAATTTACCAAGGAAAATAACTCCCTACGAAAGAGAATTGACCAAATGGGAAAGGAAGTACAAACGCTCACAGAGGAAAAGAATTCCTCAAAAATTTGAATTGAACAAGCAGAAATGAATAACTCTGTGAGACCTTAACATACAATGAAAAAAACAAAAAAAAGAAGTAAAAAAAGAAAAAAATGTGAGATTTCTCACTGGAAAAATGATTAACCTAGAACATAGATCCAGGAGAGATAACATAAGAATTATTGGACTTCCTGAAAGCCATGATTAAATTTAAAAAAAAAAAGGCCTGGACAACATCTTTCAATATTTTTTTTTTAATGCATAGATGGATAGGTAGATGGCACAGGGTGAGTTGAAGATGAAGGGGTGATATCTAGAGAATAAACTTAAAGGTTGAGAGAGGATAATACTGGGAGAAAGAGAAAGGGAGAGGTAGAATGGGGTAAATTATCTCACATAAAACAGGCAAAAAAAGGCTTTCACAGTGCAAGGGAAGTGGGGGAAGGTGAGAGGAAATGAGTGAATCTCATTCTCATAGGATTTGGCTTAAGGAGGGAATAACATACACACTGAATTGGATAGGAAAATCTATCTTACCCTCTGAGAAAATAGGGAGGGGAAGGGGACAAGAGAGCTGGGAGATGATAGAGGGGAGGGCAGATTGAGGGAGAGGGTAATCAGAAGCAAACCCTTCTGAGGAGAGAGAGGGTCAAAAGAAAGAAAAAAATAAATGGGGGGCAGTGGAATAGGATTAAGGGAAACACTTAGTTTGTCATAATATGACTACCATGGAAGCGTTTTGCATGACTACACATGTATAACCTGTATGGGGTTGCTTGCCTTTTCAATGAGAGTGGGTGAAGAGGGAAGAAGGGAGAAAATTTGAAACCCAAAGTTTTAAAAACACATATTAGAAAAATTGTTTTCATATGCAACTGGGGATTAAGAAATATAGGAAATGGGGTATACAAGCCTATCCTGCCCTACAGTAAAATAGAAAGGGAAGGGGATAGGAGAAGGTGGGGAGCGATAGAAGAGAGGGGAGAATAGGGGTATTCAGAATGCATGCCATCTCAGGGAGGGGGGAGGGATGAGATGGGGAGAAAATTTGGAACTCAAAATCTTGTGGAAGTGAATGTTGAAACTAAGAATAAATTTTAAAAGATTTTTTTGGTTTTTTTTACTTTTTTGTTTCTTTTTTTTAAAAAAAATGTTTATTTTAGTTTACACTGTTGACTTTTGTAACATTTTGAGTCCTAAATTTTCCCCCCATTCCAAGATAGCATGCAATCTGATATAGGCCATACATGTGCAATCATATTAAACATATTTCCACATTAGTCATGCTGTGAAAGAAGAATCAGAATAACAGGGGAAAACACAAGAAAGAAAAGTGAAAATAATAGCCTTCAATCTGCATTAAGATGTCATAGTTCTTTTCCTGGATGTAGCTGGCAGTTTCCACTGTGAGTCTTTTGGAATTGTCTTGGATCATTGCATTGTTGAGAAGAGCTAAGTCTATCACAGTTAATCATGGCACAATGCTGCTGCTCCTGTGGGGAGTATTTTCCTAGTTCTGTTCACTTCACTCAGCATCAGTTCACGTAAATCCTTCCAGGTTTTTCTGAATTCTGTCTGCTTATCATTTCTTGTAGAACATTCCATTATATTCGTATATCACAGCTTGTACAGCCATTCCCCAGGTGATGGGCTTCCCCATGATTTTCAATTCTTTGCCACCACAAAAAGAACTGCTATAAATATTTTTGTGTTGTTTAATGTCTTTTTTTATTTTTCCCTCTTTTATGTTCTCTTTAGGATATAGACCTGGTAGGGGTATTGCTGAATCAAAGGGTATGCACAGTTTGACAGCCCTTTGGACATATTTCCAAATTGCTCTCCACAATGGTTGAATCAGTTCCCACTCCTCCAGCAACACATTAGTGTCCCAAATTTACCACATCTTCCCCAACATTTATCGCTTTTCTTTTCTGTCGTATTACCAATCTGATAGATGTGATGTGATACCTCAGAGTCATTTCGATTTGCATTTGTCTAATCAACAGTGATTTAGAGCACTTTTTCATATAACTATGAAGTGCTGTAATTTCTACATCTGAAAACTGCCTGTTCACATCCTTTGAGTATTTATCAATTGGGAAACACCTTGCATTGTCATGAATTTGAATCAGTTCTCCATATATTTTAGAAATGAGGCCTTTATTGGAAATACTGGCTCTAAAACTTGTTGCCCAGATTTCTGTCCAGGCCTGGCATAGAAAGATGGAGAAAAAGGCCTGTGGCTCAGCTGGGCCTCTCCGCTATCCAGGCGGGAAACTGGTTCCCAGACAAGAGGAAGAAATGCAAGTGGTTTGCTCACTTGCTGGATGCAGAGCACGGAGCCGACCACAGACGCTGCATGCCCTGACGCAAGGCATGTCTTCCAGAACTGGTGCGGGCTCCATGGCCCAACGACTTCTGAACAACTAGAGAGAAATTCATCTGGACGCCCCACTCCTCCCCACCACCAAGAAGACCCTGCACGCTCTTGCTGCGCTCCTGACCTGCTCCAAACACTCGGCAGAGCCTTATGGAACTCCGACCATCGAAATCTGCAGACCCCGCCATCGGGACACACCCCCACTCGCTCCCCATACCAAAGAGAGCCCAGAAAAGGCAAAGGGCCCAGCACTGCTCACAGCAGCTCTTCCTCTGCTGGATCGGCAGGGGAAATGAAGGACCTGCCCAGCAAGTGGGCCAGGGGGAGGGAGGGAATGTCTCAACGCCCAGCGCCCGAGAATGGGAATGGAGCGTGACGCTGTTCCATGGAGGGAAGAACCGCATGCTTTCCCGTGCAACCGGGAAAGACCTTCACGGACTCCTGCGGACGGTGATCAGCAGAACCGGGGGAACTCGGCACCGGGCAGCCGCCATACCGTACCACCGAGACCCGTCAGCCGCTGGGCTCTTCTCAGCAAGACGACGGTGCCAAGTCCGCGGCAAAGGACTCCTCACTACAGATGCTCTCCGCCCAGCCGGGTGGTGTGAGAATACAGAACGAAGCAGATGATTTTTCACTTTCTTCCCTTTGCTAATTTAATTTCTCCATAGGCTCCATATGGAGCATATAATCCAGTCCAGTGAAATGGAGCCTTCCAAGGAGGGAGGGAGAGAGAGCAGCCCACAGCCTTCATGGATAGAAGAAGTGTGGAGGGTCAGAGGAAGCCCCCTGACTTAGGGCCTGAGGCTGCTTCCTGGAGCTATGGGACACGGATAATGCTTCTCCCTCTCTCTAATGCCCTCTGCAGCTCCCATCCTCTTCTCTGAGTGACTTAACCAGACAGCAAACTCTCAAGTCCACGATCAGGGGTATGACAAACACTCTTGTCCTCCCATAGTAGGT